TGCCCATTGCACCGCTATTCGATGCTTGACTACATCGGTTTGCCTGGCATCGCTTGGCTTTGAAGTTGCACTGCCGTGCAGTTCATCCCGTTGCAGCCCACTGTTTTGCACCGAATTCGTTTGCATGTGCACCTTTATAATAAAATGTAATGATGCTACCAAGAATACAGACAATAATAAGAGTATGAAGGATATGCCTAATACGATTAATAATAAGACATACCTATACGACCACCCTCCGGGTGATAAGGAGGTTCGGGGGGGGGAACCAACGTCTCACTCGATCGGTCTCACTATCGATCTCAGTACCGATCTCACTATCGGTCTCGCTCGATCGATCTCACTCGATCGATCCCACAATCGATCTCACTCGATCTATCTCATTCGATAGATCTCACAATTGATCTCACAATCGATCTCACAATAGATCACACAATCGATCTCACATTCGGTCTCAATATCGATCTCACTATCGAGATCACAATCGCTCTCACCATCAACGTCATCATCATCATCATCCTCATCATCATCAACATCATCATCATTACCATCATCACCAACATCGCCATCATCATGAGGGCACCGTCATCATCATCATCATCATCATAAACATCATCATCAAAGTCAGCATCATCATCGGGACAACATCATCATCATCACCACCATCATCATCTCATCATCAACATCATCGTCATCATCATCGGGACACAGTCATCGCCATCATCATCAGCAGCATCATCAGAATCATCATCAAAATCGGGACACCATCATGATCAACATCGTTCTCAGCATCAACCTTATCATCAACATCGTCATCATCCTCGGGACACCATCCTCATCATCATCAGGATCATCGCATCATCATCATCGACTTCATCGCCATCAACAACATCATCATCATTGGGGCAACATCATCATCATGAGCAACATCATCATCAACATCGTCATTATCATTATTATCATCATCGGGACACCATCATCATCATCACCATCATCATTAGCACCATCATCATCATCATCATCATCGGGACACCATAATCATCATCAACATCATCATCTTTTACATCATTATCGCTGGGGCACCATTTCCATCAACATCATCATCACCAACATCATCGGAATCATCATCATCAGCATCATCATCATCGGGACACCATCATCGTCATCATCAACATAATCATCATGAGCATCATCATCTTCATCATCGGGACACTATCATCATCATCGACACCATCACTAACATCATCATCATCCTCATCTTCATCGGGACACCATCATCATCATCTCATCATCATCATCAGACTCATCATCATCATCATCATCATCATCATCAGCAGCAGCAGCATCATCATCATCTCATCATCATCCTCGCGGGACACCGCGGGACACCGGCGGGACACCGCGGGACACCGCGGGACACCGCGGGACACCGCGGGACACCGCGGGACACCGGCGGGACACCGCGGGCCACCGGCCGCCCGGAAGGGAGTCATTTGGTCCGGCCGCGCCTCAGCCACACGGGACACCAGCGGGACACCGGCGGGACACCGCGGGCCCCCGGCCGCCCGGAAGGGAGTCATTTGGTCCGGCCGCGCCTCAGCCACAGGAGACTTTCTCTCGCCCGCCCACGCAGCTTCGCCTCGCCCGCACGGCACGCACGAACACGAAACCGAAATCGATTTCCCGGTAGGGGGGCTCTCCGTTCCACTTCGATCTCACCCCCCAACCTCCGATAATTACAATTGTAATAATAAAAATATGCATCGGAGTGCGCTGCTTGAGGGCGAGGACATCGAGAAGCAGGGGACGCTTCCTCCAAGAATCAAGGAAGGCACCCCCAAGGAGCCAGAGGAGACTACTCTGGAAAACTGGCCTCGGGATGCAAAAAAAATCTGGCGATTTCGGCATAACATCAAATACGGTCAGGACCTCTTTCTTGGAATGTCCCGGCGGCGGCCCCGGCGACGACGAGAACGTGCCCCTCCGCTGCACGTGACGGGGGGCTGGAATAAGCTCGGTACGTTGACGCTCGGGGACGGGGACGGGGTTAGCGTGTCACGTCGAAGCGGCGGGCCAGAACAAGCGGCCAGAGCGCTAAGCACAAGTTCCTGACCATAGACAACCTCGTACCATGAGCAGATCCTGACCGGGGACCACCGAGCACTGAGGAGCATCTTCCATGCGCCCTTGCTCGTGTACTCCAGATTTCGTAATAAAGGGAGCGGGGTCTCATTTCGGGGGGGGGTCTCTTCCAGGCCATCTTGGAGGGCCTGGGGGGGTCTGGGGACGATGTTTTGGAGGGTTCTCCCACGGGGGGGGTCTAAAACTTCTCGTCTGGGAGGGTTGAGACCCCCTCCCTTTTATTACGAAATCTGGAGTACCCGCTCATCATTCTAGACGTCTCTCCTCCTCTTTCTGCTCACCCTCTTGGTCTCGTGTCTGCCGAATGTTGCCCTCGGCCCTCGAGGGTCGAGAAGGGAGGGTCTCGGGCAAGCTTGGCCCTCGTCGGGCCCCCAGAAGCCTCCGAAGGCCTCCAGAGGTCTCTGGGGTCCTCTGGGAGCTGGGGGTCAGGATCCAGGGCGGGAGCAAGACGTACCGCTTGTGTCCATCACATTCCAGCGTCTGGACATTCAGGATGCCAGCAAGGCTGCTGGTGACGGAACGAGTCGCACGACAAAGCGATGTGACTAAGGCAATGGCTATCATCCCACTAGCCCTCAGGGCTAGGTGGCTTAGCCCTGCAACTTTTTCAGTCACACTTCTTCTCTTTCGGGGAGGGGTCGCCTCTTCCCATGCCCCCTCCACTGGGTATGGACGAAGCGGTGCAAGGTGTCAGAGTGCCCGTTTTGCCCAAGACGGCTCCAAGATGGACAATCTGGCGTCCAACATGCCCCAAAGAACCCATAAGATGCCGCCAGGTGGCCACGGGGCCACCTAACAATGTCCCAACAAAAACCGGACTCTTCAACACCCATAATGCCACTCAATGAGTTTAGTCGCGCACTGGTGCTTCCACATCCTTCTCGACGTCCTCCTCCGTCTCCGCCTTGCGCCCTCCCTCCCTCCGCCCCTCCCTCCTCCTACTCCTTCCTCCTCCTCCTCCCCATCCTCCCTCACTCCCCCCCAACCCCACAGCCCCCTTGTGCTCTCAAGCTGCCGTTTGGGCTCCAACCATGTTGGCTGGGACCCAACGCCTCGGTCCCTTCTCGTGGGCGCTCGAGGGATAGCACAGCCCCTGCGTTCACTGCCTTACCCTTTAAGACACTTGCAGACCGCTGTGCTGACGAAAACCGAGGTTGCTGCAATGTGGTATCCCCACACCCCTAGTTCCCCCCCTCTTCTGCTACGTACGCCTGATTGTTGCGGCACGCGGCGCCAGCTGGGTCACGCCGCGGCTGTGGGGTCGGCTCCGCCCTGTAAACTGATGCGCGAAGCAACGCGGCGAGGCTCTGCTCGCCGTGAATCCCACCAGCCCTCTGGGCGTAGGTGGTCTAGAGCAGATCCTCTTCCACCCCTCCCTCTTCCCCCTTGGGGAGGGGTTTACCCCTCCCCCTACCCCCTCCCCTGGACCTGGACGGGGGGGGCCGCGGGTAGTTAGAGCGTCCCAGATGGCCCAAGACGGCTCCAAGAGCGCCTCAGAGAACCCAAGATGAGCTCCAAGATGGCTCAAGATAGCGCAAGATCGCTCGAGATGGCTCCTAAGATGGTTCCAAGAAGCCCAAAGACGGCCCCAAGATAACTCCAAGTGGCCAAACAGCTCCCCAAGGAGGCCCCGAAGAGGCCAAAATCGTCCCAAAACCTAAGGAAAATCAATGATTTTTGCTTTCTCGCCTTTTCGCTTCCGATGGCCATCCGAGGCCTGGAGATGGTTCCAAGATGGCCCAAGAGGGCCCCAAGAGAGCCCCAAAAGAGCCCCAAGACGGCCCCAAGAGCGCCCAAGAGCACTCCAAGAGCGTTCCAAGAGGGGTCCAAGAGGCGATTTTAGGGGCTTCCGAGGGGGGGCGCTAATTAAACCCCCCCTCTTGTTTGATCGATCTCCTCCAAGATGGCCCCAAGAAGCGCCCAGGAAGCCCCAAGAGGTCCCAAGATGGCCCCAAAATGGCCCCAAGAGGCCCCCAAGAGGCCCCCCGGAGGCCCCCAAGAGACCCCCAAGAGGCCCCAAGAGCCCCCCCAGATGCACCCAAGATGCTCCAAGAGGCCTCGGCGAGAATGCCTAATCATTGATTCTACACAGGTTTTAGCCACATGGAGGCCTCTTGGGGGGGGGCACGGATTAAGATGACTCCAAGAGCGTCTGGGAGAGCCCAAAATGACCTCCAAGATGGCTCAAGATATCCCAAGATGTCTCATAATGGCTTCCTCTGTGTGCTGCCCACTTCTCTGATCGAGGCAATTCCTCTGGGCATCGTTTCTGGATGGGCTGGTGGGGATTCGCGAAGCGACAACAATTCAGAGCAGCTCAGCACTGACGAGCAGCGTGCAGGTGCACGGTTTCCCCCGGGGCCGCAGGCGACCCGAGGAGGAGGAGAAGGAGGAGGAGGAGGAGGAGGAGGTGGAGGAGGAGGAGGAGGAGGAGGGGGGGAGGAGGAAGGAGAGGAGGAGGAGGAGGGAGGAGGAGGAGGAGGGAGGAGGAGGAGGGGAGGAGGAGGGGAGGAGAAGAAGGAGGGGGAGGAGGAGGAGGAGGAGGAGGAGGAGGAGGAGGAGGAGGAGGCGGAGGAGGAGGAGGAGGACGGGACGCCTAAGCCCTTCGGAGAAACCCTCCACGTGCAGGGAGATGCACAATGACGTTAATCGGCGAACAACCCGAGCTGACGGTGCTGTAGTGACGATGACGATACCCGCTCGTTGTCCGAGATGCTGCGCAGTCAAATAGCATGAGCATGTCAGCTGCACTCCTGTCAAGCCAACCCGGTTCCCCAACCAACCGCCTGTCAGAACCTAGAGCGAGCATCTAGCAAACAAGCGAACGATACTTGCCGACACGCGGGCCGATGCAGAATTCACCAATACACTATTCTGACTGGTGCCTTCTCGAGGTAGTCGGGATCCCTCATCTGGACAACCCGATCCCTGGAGATCGTACCCAGCGCGCTCCAGAACTTGCAAACGATCCACGTGATCCACATCTGAACGATCAGGAAAATCAAGAACCACAAGTAGGATGTAAGAACGAATATCAGGTTGAAGATGCAGAAGCAAAGGTATACCGAGACAGGGCCTCGCTGCAAGCGCCGTGCCCCGATGATGCCGCAGAGAGGTCCAACGAAGAGTGCGGCCTGAATCAAGCCTACAGTCCATAGAGGTATCCCTTCGATAGCGGTGCATTCTTCTCTCCTGCACTGGGTGAGGGCCGCCCAGAAGAATACATCGCGGATCAGCTGGAGGACGAAGTCGATCAGACCGAAGCACATGACCGTGTACCGCAAGCTGAGGACAATGAGCTCATCGGTCGGCAAATCTGGGATGGCCTCCACAACGACCGGCCCCGTCGAGAGACGAGGTGCGCCGATGGACACGGCGTGCGGGTGCACGGCCACGCCCTGCACAACGGCTCCGTGCGCAAAATGGGGCGCCTGGCCCATCTCGGCCTCCTGCATCTGCCTGGCTGTGCGCTCGTCCTCTGCTGCACTGGCGGCCATTGCAGCGCTGTGCCGATGCTGTCGACCTGGGGTCCAGTGAAATCACTTTGCTGAGCGCCTTGAAACAAACTGGCTACGGACGCCCGCGACATCTCCAGGGAAATTGAACTGTGGGCCAGTTGACCGGATTGCGTCTTCGCTGGCGCCACCACGGGGAGGAACCCCACAGCGGGGGGCCTCGGTTGCTGCGCCCAGAAAAGGCCCCGAGCGTTGGAAACTTCAGCCTGACAACTCGTCTCGTGGTGCTGGTGAGACCCCCATGCTCGCACGGCCAGCACCAATGGCTACCGAGGCCTCCCATCTATTTTGACCTGCCCGGCTTCCGCGGCACTGATGATTAGCTGTCTTCTCAAAGCTGCCCTGGAAAAGGCAGTGCTTGCACTGAAGGGGTGCTACTTCTGTTGTGCGGAGCTGGCAGTGCCTGCCGCAGTCGGCCATTGGCGTGCTGGTGCCCTGTGGCTGGTGCCCGATGGTGTCCGATGGTTGCTGCTCTATGGCTGTTGCGCTCTGGTGTCCTCTGGTTTGTGTCCTGTGGTTGGTGGACTCAGGTGCCCTATGAGTGATGTCCTATGGTTGATGCCGTACGGTTGATGCCCCATGGTTGGTGTCCTATGGCGCCCCATGGATTTTGCCCCATGATCATTGCTCTGTGGATGATGCCCTATGGTTACCGCCCTTTTGTTGGTGCCCTGGGAATGGTACCCTGTGTTGATGAATGTTGGTGCCATATGGTGCCCGAGGGCTGGTGCCCTTTGGTTGGTACATCATGGTTTCTACCCACAGCTTACACATCGGGAATGCTAGCACCTACCGTTTAGGGCCGACAGGCTGGCATCGTTACTTGCTGAACTGCCGCGCCCCTTGTGCTGAGTGAACGCGACGCTGCACAACACATTTGTTTGTCCCAGTCTCGGTGGTCACAGTACAGCGGAGGTCAGTTCACAAGAAACCTTCCACAAGAAACCCAACCCTGAGACCCCAGGACGTCCATTGTTTTTTGGTGTTGGAACGTCACGCCTTCCATCACAAAACCATCGAATCCCAGTAAACCCAGGGAACCCTGGAGGCGAGGAGGGTGTTTCTTGGCATGGGTATCCACTGTAGTTGGTCGATGGGGAAAACAAGGCTACTGCAAACCGCAGTTGCGCACAGAGGGGCGAGGAAGAGGCGAGCGGCGGCCCCAGAGAGACAATAAAAGCGGCCCCATCACATCATGTAGGTCTTAAAAAAGCGTGCTGCGGCCCAAGCTGCGGCAGGCCACACAGCGCAAAACACACGGGCAAGCCGGCTCGACTTCGAGATGGCCTGGCTACATACCCCTTCGTTCCATTACCCGACCTCGTTCGGGAAGTCTGTGCAGTGAACTGTGATTTGCCTCTCTCAACGCTTGTGCGGTTGACCGTGCCTTCTTCCTCCTCCTCCTCCTCCTCCTCCTCCTCCTCCTCCTCCTCCTCATCATCATCATCATCATCATCATCATCATCATCATCATCATCGTCATCATCATCATCATCATCATCATCATCATCATCATCATCATCATCATCATCATCTTCCCCCTTCTCTTCCTCCTCCTCCTCCTCCTCCTCCTCCTCCTCCTATCCTCCTCCTCTTCCTCCTCCTCCTCTTCCTCCTCCCCCGCATCCTAATCATCATCAGAATCAGCAGCATCACCACCACCACCACCGCCACCATCATCATCAACATCAGCAAGTCATCATCACCATCACCATCAGCAGCATCATCATCAGCATCATCAGCAGCATCATCATCATCAGCAGCGGCATCATCGTCATGATGATGATCATCCTCATCAACATCATCACGATCGTCATCATCACTACCACCATCACCATCGCCATCATAACATTCATCACCATCAGCATGGTCATCATCATCAGCAGCATAATCATCAGCATCATCATCATCATAATCATCATCATCATCAGCATCATCATCATCATCATCATCATCATCATCATCATCATCATCATCATCGTCATCGTCATCGTCATCGTCATCAGCATCACCATTATCATTACTGCGCGTCATTTTCTGGGGGGGCCTGTCTATTATAGTATGATATGATAGCGGCACTGTCAAGACTGCGGCGTGAGTTCCAGGGCCACGTCGGCGCTCAGGAGCGAAAGCTGCAACAATCCAGAACCCGTTCCAGGCACACTTGGGGTGCCGAGAACGGAAAGAGCGGGCCATTATTGACAGGGGAATGGCAGTGGGCCACGAGTACTTTGAGCATAAACAGTTATGGAACGGATGCAAAATGTCAAAAGCCAGCCAGTTCAAATCCGCGCACGCACAGACATTACTGGGCATCTTTCTCTGGGTGGGAAATCTGTCTAATATGATAGCGACGCCTTCTCCTCCTCCTACTCCTCCTCCCTCCTCCTCCTCCTCCTCCTCTTCCTCATCATCATCATCATCATCATCATCATCATCATCATCATCATCATCATCATCATCATCATCATCATCATCATCATCATCATCATCCTCTTCACCCTGCTCCTCCTCCTCCTCCTTTTCCTCCTCCTCCTCACCCACATCACCATCCCCAAACCTCCTTCCCTCCTCCTCCTTCCCATTAATCCGCTCTTACTTGGGCCCCTCATTTCCCCCATAACAGCATGTGTAGTATTCCTCATGTTTCCACCTGGCCCGTCTCCTCATCGTCATCACTGCCAGCCTTCTGCTCCTGCCCCTCGGCGTCGTCATCGTCGTGCCTGCTTGGAGTGCCGTCTCCCAATGCACATCGCATTCGTGCTCTGCGACGCACTACGATCAGAAGGGTATGCCTCTGGTTAATGCTGGCGCGCAGCTGGCGCGCAATAACGCAACAGCTACAGGTAGACGCCCAGCGCGAGGTGAGCAGACCAGGGGCCAAAGAAGCGAAAGAGGAGGAAAAACAAGAAGGGAAAAACGAGCCATCTCATCCTCTGCTTCTACTCCTCAGTTGCTCACCCGTTACTCAAACCCTGGATCCCTAACGACTGCACTGTGACTGGCAATGCTGATCACCGTGTATCCTGATCTCGAAATCCTCGTCGTTACGCTACCTGAAGATGCTCGTCCTGAGTCTGGGCATCCCATCAGCCTCCTAGCGCAGCCCGTCCCGCACGCGAGCGCCCGCAACTGCTTTGGCAATATTTCTGTCCCTGGCTGATCTCGCCGCGCTGCTTGTGGGAGCCTGTATGGCGTTCCCGGCCACTGCAGAGGCCGCAAATGGAGGACCTCCGGGGGAGATGATCAGGACAGGGGAAATAAAAGTGGTGAATGAAAGAGGTGTGCAGATGCGCATTACGGCAAGACGTGGACTGAAGTAGTTGGGCACATCAGGGCAACCATGCACGCTTGATCGTGCATGCCAACGCGCGTGCGTGCACATACACACATACGTCCATACCCTTCCACACCACACTGGACCGTACCGTGCTACACTACTAGACCCCAGTACCTGACATGCATAAACGCAGAAAGTTACACCGCATGGATGCGCAATGAGCTGCTCCATCGCATTACACTGGCCCGCAGAGAACACAGCACACCGAATCACCGCGCATTCGGTCAACTCATGTACGTATGGATATACAGATATGTACGGGTGCATGTACTTACGGGCACATCTGAACTTAGGAAACAGAAGACCCGCTGTGAGGATTAGCTGGAATGGAACCACACGCTACTAGCGCGCTGCAACTAATGAGGCCATCGCAAGCCACATACATGATGCGTGTCATGCTAATTCGTATTGATTTGACTCTGCTGTCCAGTGGTTGTGAAGGTGGCGACCTGGCTTTTTTTATCTCTCTCTCTCATTTGAGGCACCCTTCAGTCCCCTCGAAGCATTTCATGCTAGTGCCCTCTCACCCAATACCACTTACCCTTGACCTTCTTCTCGACATGACTCACACAGCTTTCTCCACAACCAGAAAGGTCCCTTCCTCTCAATCCGCTCTGGGTGGCCTGGCTGCTGAACAGCTTGTGCGGGCGGGCTCTGCACTGGGGCCTCAAGGCTGTGCCCGTGACAACAAGATCCCCCAGCGGAACAGTACGACCATGGTGCAGTGCGGCAGGAGTGACAGCAACACCGACAGAGCGAAGCTGGCAGGGGAAGAGACAGAAGTGATGAACAGCCAGCGATGAGGCATGCGATAAGGCGTTGATGGTGAAAGGCCGCACCCAATGGACGCTAGTAACATGTAAGCAGCTGAGAAGAACATGCAAGCATAAGGATGTAAACACATTCGCACCGAACAGTCCTATGAGACGCCAGCACTTGCCACCGTGCCAGAGGCACGTCTTGGCGTGTGAAGACGCTCTTGGATGTCTGGTCGGGCTTCCGCTGCTTTTCCTGGGCGGCCCCCTTCCCTACTGACGACCTTCTCCAAAAATCTCCTTTCTACGTGTTGCTCCCTGGAACTCTTCCCAGACATAAGACGCCCCAGAGAGGGCTCAAGATCTGATCAGGGTGACTGCTACATGCTCCCTGGCCCGAGGCATCCCAAAGACACCCCAGAGGCCTCACCCCAGGATGTGCCCCAAAGGCCTCGACCCAGGATGTGTCCAGTGGGGAGGGACGTGACCAGCTGTACCCCACTGGATCACGGCCGCCTCTGGGGTGACAGCAGCGCGAGGGGCAGAGAGCCAGGGCGGCTGACGACAAGGAGGGCCACAGACGCTGGCCAAGGGGGCCAGCGAGGGCTGCAGTGGGCCCAGCGAGGCGGCAGACCCCGAGGGGGGCGCACGGAGGAGCCAGAGGGCACCGCCGCGCTCAGCGTGTGTGCGGCAGCGTGTGTGTGAGGAGCCGGAGGGCGCAGCCCAGCAGCCGGCACGCCGTGCGCGCGGGCGGCGGGGCGGCAAGGGGGCGGTCGCCGCCCGCCCCGGCCAGGGCACGTGCAGCACCCCGGGGCAGGGAGGCCCAGCGTGCCAGGCGGTCAGCGCCCGCCCCCGAAGGAGCGCGAAGGAGTCCGGGCCACGGCAAACGGCAAGGCGAGAGGCCGCCCGAGGCGGAAAGAGAGCGCAGCAGAGGGCCGAGCCGCGCTCTCCTCGGCCTCGGGGGGCTGCCTCGCCAAGGTGGAGGAGCGCGCGCGGAGCAGGGCGAGCCCCCCGGAGGGTGCGGTCGAGGAGGCGGCAGTGCCGGCCCTGCTGCCAGAGTCGGGGAGACGTGAGACTCGGGTACGACCTCCTCCTCCTGCTCCTCCTCCTGCTCCTCCTCCTCCTGCTCCTCCTGCTCCTCCTCCTCCTCGTCCTCCTCCTCCGAGGGGCTCGGGTTGGCCTGACGGGGCCATCAATGAAAAAACGACGAGGCCCGATCTGAAATTTGGCGCGACCTCCCGCTGCAAGCATCCCACCAACACCGGACCGTCAAAATCCAGGATGCGCTCGTCAAAAAGCGTCGGCAAACCCGAGTTCCGGCTTGCTCGAGTCTTACGTTCCCCCGACAGAGGAGGAGTCCAGCCAGAGAGCGGGGCGGGGTTCCACGCTGCGGCGGCACGACCACCCGCACGGGGGCAGCCGCGCCACCCGAGGCTGGAACGCGGGTGTCTTCATCCTGGCGGGGCCCCCGTGGAGCCCTAAAGTTCTGCGGCAGCAGATGGGAGCCTCCTATACCACCTTGTTGGCTCCTTGCGAGACGCGAATCGATGCTGATCGACGCTCATCGAGGCTAACTCGAAACCACCCGACGCCAATCGAGACTAAGTCGACGCTGTCTCATCGGTTACCAGACGCTAGATCGACGCTAACGCAATCTAAAGATGGAACTGCAAGGGTACTCCGGATTCCATAACAAAGTGGGGGGGGTCACATTCGGGGGGGGTCTGATTTGAGCTGTCTTGAAGGGTTAGAGGGGGTCTGGGCAAAGTGCCGCCCTTTCATGGATGGTCTGGGGGGGTCTAAAACTTGTGGTCTGAGAGGATTGTGACCCCCTCCCTTTTATTACGAAATCTGGAGTATACAAGGCTCGCATGATTTCTGACGCCGTCTGTGCGGAGGCGTCTCTGCCGCCTGCTCCCCGCCTGCTCTCCGTCGCTGTGCGGAGGGCCCAAGCCACCGGTAGGCCCTGGGCCTCAGGTAAGGCCCCCCGTGTGGCCGACGTGTGCGGGGAGGGGTCCGCGGCAGCGGCACCGCTGCCATCTGTGGCGGCGGTTGCCCCCCACGTGCCCGTTGGCAGTCCTTTAGCGAAGTCGACGACGCTGTATCGGTGGCCTACCATAAACGCCGACTCGTTCCACGACGGGCCGATTCTGGTTCCACCTGGAATCGTCCGCGCGGGGGCCGCCGCGCGGTCGACACGACGCAAACCTGCCTGCAGGTCTGCGTCGAATCGACACTGGCGCTGCTTCCTGACACTGGCCTGGATCCTCCAGAGGATAAAACAAGGCTAGGATCTGGATAAATCGCTCCAGAGCGTTCCGGAGCGCTCTCAGAGCGTTCCGGAGCGCTCTGGAGCGGCCGCGGCGCCAAAATACATCCTCCAAACCCGCCGATTCTCAGAGATTTCGAGTTATCCCGATCCGATTTTGTCCCGATCTTCGCGTCGTTTGATTGGATCCTCCAGAGGCGCCACACGACGCGGGATGGCGAGGCCCTGCTGGCGGGATGCAGCCCGGCCGGAGATTTCCTGCGCCTGCTGCAGCGTCAGCCCGGTCACCTTCCGCGTGGGCGGTCGCCTCGCACAGCTGGGGCTGCTGCGTCGTGACGGCGGGCCGGATCTGGATGGTCGAGGCGAAGCTGGGCGGTCGAGGTACGGATCTGGCTGCACAATGGAGTCCATACGCGAACACATACGCACACACATACACAGGGGTCCACTCCACAAACACACACACACACACACACACGGAAGGCTGTAGGGTTCCACACAAACAGGGTTCCACGCAGGGGGGGGTCTGCACAGGTTGCACTCCACACCCAAGGTTCCACATATAAGGTTCGCTACTGTCTCTGACTGCTTGGGATGCAAACGCCACTACTTGTTTGATGTCGCCCCCCCGGGCCTTCCGCCCTGAGGTGACTTGAGGAAAGCTTCCGAAGGCCCCAAGGCGAAACAAATTGTTGTACCGAGCCTCGTTGGGAGAGCTTGGTAGAACCATCGAGACGAAGATGGTCCAAGAACGTCATGGCGTTTATCGACGCCCCAGCCCGTAGAATCATGGCTCTACCGCCTGGGGACCCGCGAAGACGCCGTAGAAGTGAGAACGGGGGATTCTCAAGTGGCGGTATGGAGGCCGACGCGCGCGACGATTTACTCCCGAGGGGCGCGAGAGTGGGCGAGGGAGACGGAGGGAGTGAGAGATAGGGAGGAGGCGGTGGAGAGATGGAGAGAAAGAGAGAGAGAGAGAGGTATGCGGGAGAGAGAGAGAGAGAGAGAGGAAGGAGAAGCGAGGGAGAAACAGGCGAGAGAGGTAGCCCCTCCCCTCTCTCCTCCTCCTCCCCTCTCTCCTCCCCCCCACCCACCTCCACCCCCCACCCCCCGCCCCCCGAGCAGCACGCGGTGGCCCTTGGGGGGGGGGGGGGGGGGCAAACAAAAAAAAAAAAACATCGGCGCAGGGGGGGGGTGGAGTCAGACAGTTTTTTTGTTTTTTTTTTTCCTGCCCCCCCCCCCCCCAGGGCCACCCCCCACCCCCCACCAAATTCCTCTTGTGGACGGTTTCAATTGGAATCCTTCTGCAGAGGATTTCAGTAGGAATCACTGTCGAGGAAATTTCAATAGCAACCCTTCTTGTTGGATTTCAATCGGGATCCTTATGTGGCGGATTTCAATGGAAATCCGCCTGGAGATTTCAATGGAAGTCCTTATGTGGAGGATTTCAATCGGAACCCTTCTGCGGAGGATTCCAATCGGAAACGTTCTGCGGGCGTTTCCAAAAGAATCCTTGCGCGGAGGATGCTGTATGAATCTTGCTGTGGATGGTTCCAACGGGAACCCTTCTTGCGCAGGATTTCAATACGAATCCGTATGTGGCGGATGTGAAGAGAAATCCTTGTATGGAAGGTGTCGATGTTGACTGCTTGTATAATTTCAATATGAACGCAACACCAAGACAATGCCAATGCACTGGTAGTGCTGTGCCAGCGCTTTACCAGTGCCAGGCCCATCGCAACACCAAGGGGGCACCAATGCTATGCTAACTTTTTGTGGGGGCGTCCACTAGGAATCAGTATGTGGAAGGTTGTCAATCAAAACCGTTGTTTGTTGAGGGTTTCAATATGAAGGCAGTGCTAATGAATGCAAGTGCTACGCTAGCTCTGCTAGCAATGCCAAGGAACACCAGTGCTATGCAATTCTACGCCATGACCGTGCCAGCGTGTCGCCAGTACAATGCCAATACAACGCCAGCACTTGACCAGTGCAATGTCAATCCCCATTCACCGCTATCCAACACGAAAGGAATGAACCTTCTTCCCCCTTCGATGTTTCAATAGAACTCATGCTGTGGATGATTGAATAGGACTCCTGTTATGGATGAATTCGATAGGAGCCATATGATGAGAAAGTTGGTAGGAATCCTTCTATGAAGGGCTTCAAGTGGAATGTGATACAAATCACGTCCAAAGCAATGTGTGTGTTATGCCAGCGTTTTGCCAGCGCAAGGCCACTGCAATGCCATGGGGCACCAGTGAACATTCGTTCCAGAGTTCAATAGAAATCCGTCTGTGGATGATTGAAGTAGGAATCCTGCTTGTTTGGGGTTTCAGTACGAACCTTCTGTGGAGGAATTGAGGAATTGAGTTGGACTCCTTATACGCAGGGCTTCAAGGGGAACGCATGCCACCGCAATTCCAAGGCAATGCTTGTGGTGTGCCAGCGCTTTGCCAGCGCAAGGCCAATGCAATGCCAAGGGGCACCAATGAACATGCTTACTTCTAGGTTCGAATAGAAATCCGTATGTGGATGATTGAACTAGGAATCCTGCTATAGAGGGTCTAGGAGCCCTCATGTGGGGAATCCAACAGGAATCCTTGCACGAAGGGCTGCAATAGAAATGCAATACCTATTCGATTACAAGGCAATGCCAGTGTTATGCCAGCGCCCTGTCAGCGCAAGGCCAATACAATGCCCAGGGGCAACAATGAACCTTCTCTTAATGTTGCAATACAAATCCTTATGTGGAGGACTGCATCAGAAATGCTGCTATGGAGGAGTTCGTTTGTACCCTCCCGTGGATGAATTGAATAGAAATCCTTGGATGATGGGCTTCGAGAGGGATGCAGTGTCAAATCAATTCCAAGGCAGTGCTTGTGCTATGCCAGCGCTTTGCCAGCGCAAGGCCCATGCAATGCCAAGAGGCACCAGTGAAGCAGTTTCCTTCTAGATTGCAATAGAAAACCTTACGCGGATGATTGAACTGAGAATCTCACTATCGAGGGTTTCAGTAAGAGTCCCCCTGCGGAGAAATTCAATGGATATCCCTGCGCGAGGGGTGTCAAGAGAAATGCAGTGTCAAGTCGATTCCAAGACAATGCCTGTGCTATGCAAGCGCTTTGCCAGCGCAAGGCCAATGCAATGCCATGGAGCACCAATGAATTCTTTGTGTTTGCAGCTTGAAATCGTAATCCTTCTGTGGAGGACTGAACTAAGAATCCTGCCATGGAGGATTCCAGTGGGAGCCTCCTGAAGAATTCAATAGGTACCCGTCTTTGAAATGCCTCAACAGTGATGCAATGCCAAATCAATTCCAAGGCTATGCGTGTGCTATGCCAGCGCTTTGCCAGCACAAGGCCAGTGCGATGTCAAGGGCCACCAATGAACCGCTTGCCTTCTATATTCAATAGTTCAATAGAAATCCTCATGTGGGTGATTGACCTCGGAATCCTGCAATGGAGGATTTCAGTAGGAGCCTTCTGTGGAGGAACTCAACTGGCCGCTGGCATGCCAGTTATATGCAAGTCCGTGCCAAGCCATTGCCAGCACAATGCCAGTGCAATGCCAGCACGTGGTCGTTGCATGCCAATCAAGATCGATGCGGACGCAATTAATGCTGTGTGTTCCCCGTTTGTCACTGGGAACCCTTCTGTGGATGATTTAGATTGGGATCTTTCAGTGGAGGAATTGGTTAGGAATCCTTTTGCGTGCGCATGGAGAAAGGGGTTGAGCATAGGAATCCTTCTGGTTCAGGATTCCATATAAATTGGTCTTGCAGGGGGAGGGTCACTAGGAATCCTTCTGATGGCGGGTTTCATAGGATTCCTTCTGTAGAGGTTTCAACGGAAGTCGCCAGCGCAGTTCAAGCGCAAGGCCAGCGCACTGCCGACGAAATGCAGCGCAATACCAATGCGACGCAAATCCAATGCCAAACCGCGCCAATGCAATGCCAATGGGGGTCCTCAGGGCAGAGCGCGTATACTGCGCCGACACGAAAATACCGCAAACAACACGTCACCACCCGACCCCTGAAAAAAACACCCTTTCAACCAAAAAATGTGCGCGGCGTCGAGGCGAGAATGCCAGTTTTGAGAAAATGTGCGCGGCGCCGAGGCGAGAGTGTGATTCTTTGAAAAATGTGATGCAGCAAGCTGCCACTTGAGAATCCCCCGCACTCGTAGAACTACGGTTCGGCACAGCATCTTTCCAAAAGCTCGGTAGAACCATCGCGCCCAAGACAGCCCAACAATGCTTCGGGGACCCTCAGATATCACACTGCCACACTGATCAAAAGCATAAGCATTGTAGAGCCATGGCAGTACCATGCTATACCCATGGCTGGAAGAGCATGAAGCTGCATCCATGAAACGCTGGCACAATGCCAAGACGTGCCGCAGGCCTCTGGATATCTGAACGACGCCGACCTCCCTGGCGCATTCGCTGAGGATCTCCCAGAGAATTCCCAACGGCTTCCACAGCTTGTATCCTCGCCTCCCTGCGACGATCAGCTCTCAGACAAGGAGCTCAATCGCCCTCGAGAGACGTCCTGCTCGCATCGCGTACACGCCTGCCCGACGCGAGGACGAAAGCCCACCGCCGACGTGTTTGTGTGTGGGCGCTCGCCGCGAGGTGGAGAGCGGAGCGCTTTCTTTTCCCGCCAGACGCGCACGCACGGCCCAAGGCGCGCTAATCGCGCCACCCCACGTCCCACGAGGTCTGGCCGCACACCGCGCCAGAGGGACCGTGTGCTCGTGCAGCGAAGAGGACGTCGACTAATGCGGGATGACGATTAATAAAAAATGGGAGGGAACGTTTAAAAAAATAGTTTTCTGTTATTTCTGCACAACTCTCTGACTGGAGGAGAACGATAAAAAATAGTTGTCCAGCCCGCGGCCGGTTTTTTCTAATCGTCATCCCGGGCGCCGCCGCGTGGACACGACCCCCGGTCATTTATTAATCGTCATCCTCCATCAGAGAGAAGGAGAGCAATAAGAGACGAGGTGCAACTTGAGGAGGCGATCAGGGAGGGAAGCTGAGAGGAGCTGGATTCCTAGCATGCTGCCTTCTGATGCAACACCACAGCACAGAAGGGCAGACACGCGTGCGCCATGGCCTCGCTCAAAGTGGAGGTGGAAAAGGTGGCGCGCGCCAGGCACACATGCAGCGAAGAGGCGAAAACCCTCAGAGCACCCGCCCATCGGGCACACGATCACGGAGTTGACCACCTATCAGCGGCGCGCCAAGAGAGAAGCCAGAGGGGGCGGGCCCTCTCAACAGGCTCGGAAGGCCACCGTTCTCCTGACAAGCTTCTTCATCCTCCTCCGAGGCCACGGGCCGGTTCTCGGAAGGCTGGAGGGTTTCTCTGAAGCTCCGCCGCCTTCTGTGAAGGCCTAACCCCCTCTCGCTTCCCCCCTCTTGGCGCCACGCCGAGCCTGGACTCCTGCGTCGCCTCGTTCCAGTAGTAGAAAGTGCAGTA